AAAAAACACAAAAGCTTGTGTAAAAATACTAAAACAATTATTCGCCTCAGGCTCGGTGATTATCGTAGTCTCCTACGCAGCCTGTTCGCGGGTCCGATGTTTTCTCCCCACTAACAGGCTGCTCACTGCAACAACACATTCCATTCCGATTGTTTAGTCAATCACAGCCTGAGTACCAAAATCAGGAACTCGTTCGCGCTTAAATTTACTAAACTCTCTCAAATTGTTTACAGGTTAGCAAATGAATTTTTAAAATTTAAAATAGTTAAAAATATATATTTTTGAAACAATAATTGGCCGAAAGAGCGAAGATAAAAACATAAACAAAATAGAAAAATATTGAAAATATCCGAAAAGCAAAGTCTGTGAATTCAGACCTTGTGTATATAATAGCAGTTATTCCAGTTATTCCACTCACTCTCGTCGAATATGAGCGATAGCCGATTCGGCGCTACGCGCCTCATCGGCTATCAGCTCATATTCGACTCGAGTTCGTAGAATAACTGTTAAATATTCACCTCGACTTTGTCTCGGTGATTAATCCCCAAAATCACCTCGCCTGGGCGAATAAATGTTTATTTTATAACTGTTCAAGTGCCTTGCTTATTATGAGTGAAACACTTCGAATCAGGTTGTAGTAAGCTTGAGGTAGTAAACCTAAAAAAAGGATGGTATATGGGATAACACCTGGTCCATCATGAACTAAACAGGCTTTATTTTTGAGACTCGATTATTTTCAATCACTAACTCACCGTCATGTTTCTCCATGATTTTGTATTCCTAATATCCAATATATTGCTTGCTGGACCCAATATGTTAAGATTGTTATCAGAAATATTTAGATGAACGATTTGTTGGAGTATTCTGGCTATAATAGTAATATTTTGTGGGTCTATTCCTTTTTCTCTTTGTTCTTTGTCCATCTTATCAAAGTTTGTTACGTTTAACAGATCGTCGATAACTTTTGTAGCAACCTTTTTTCGGACTTCATCTGATACATTTTTACGATAGAGATCATCGACCTGAAAATTAAGGAGGTAGGTAATCTTCGAGTCAAGCCCTTCGAGTTAAGCCTTTCGAGTTAAGCCCCAACCACGCCCAAACCACGCCCGGATCATGGACGTAGTACAGTATTTGTCCCGTACTATTTGTTCATGAGTAATTTCAGGTAAACTTCTATAGGTAATTCAAACTGATTTTCAGGTAAATTATAACAGCATTGACAGGCAAACGTGGAAGTTAAAAAGGAAAGCAAGTTAAGAATGCCAAATTTTACTGATTGCATTTCCGGGCTTTCTGACGATTTAAATCTTCGAACCTTTTCTGGGAGCATTCCCCCTCCCCTCTCCCCCAATAATCATTCATTTGCGTTTCAGTATCATCATCTTAAAATTTTACCAAAGGTTTTTGATAATTATTTTATCACAAAAAATGAAATACACCATCATGACACGAGAAATTCATCAAAATGGCGAATTCTGTGAAACATATTACTCTTTCCATCAAAGGAGTTGATGTATGGAATAAATTGACATCGAGTTTAGAATACATTATAATAACTCTTATAACACATTCCGGAAAAACAACTTACAGAATTTTTTAATGAAAGTAGTTATAGACTCATAAGACAAACTAAACCATATAAATCATTTTTGTAAATATAGTATCTTGGAATATTGCATGCATTTCAAATGCATATATATAGGACAATATGTCTCGTCATATATAATAGCCAACATTTTTATCTCCATATTGTATTAAATCTGCACAACTCTAGTAGTCTTTACTAAAACATTGCAAACATTATATGCTGTATTATAAAAAAAATTCTTTCCTTTATTTCATTTCACTGTATTGTTAAGAAGTAATTTTAATACGTAATATGTACTGAACATAACTATAGACGGCTTGATAAAAGCCTCGTGCAGTATTGAAATTTCTCGTTCATTGTACGATCAGCGCGTGCGTATATTTGTAAACAAAACACTCACAGCAGTCTCTAACCCTTAATTATACAACGCTAACTGCTTGAAAATTCCACTCAACTATGTAATTTGTGTTAGTCTTGTTTTATGTAAATGCTTTTCCATTTAAAAATAAAGATAAAAGCCATATTTTCCACGCGAAGGCAACTTTTAGTTTGTATAGCGCGGCGCCATGTTTGTTTTGTTT